GAACCTTTGCACCTAGGACATTGCCATCAGGGATGGACGTCGATCGTACGGTAGTAGACGTGGCAGTCATTTAGGTGCTGATACAGTAAATAACATGAAAACAGAGGCCCAGATGGGACAAATTAAAGGAAAGGCGAAGAATGACCTTTGAAATGAAACGGCAAGAGGTAGATAATACGGTCAATGAGCAGCAAACGTCGCACAGACACTAGACCTGGCCACTAAGACAAGTGAAGTTAAGTAAAACAAAGGAGAAGTTCAGGTCTGATAAGGTAAACGATTATTCAGGAATTTGTAGTTTCTATGCAAATTGAGCATCATGCGGTCATTATTCTACTTTGAAAAAAGAGAAATGAAGCACTCGGGCATACCGAATGGATCTAGGATCAAACCGGGCTCTTAGTTTGCTTGGCCATTTTACGAGCTTTTTAAATGTTTTTCTATTTATACGTGGCCCGTATAACAGAGTAAGCAAACAGCAGACAGACATTAAGTAGCATATGACTTACTGCAGATATAATGCAAGTTGCACGCAAACAGTACTAATAAGTACTAATGCCAATGGTATGATAGACCTAAATATATATGCTGAATGAGTGCTGTAAAACGAAAGGACTCCCTCCTATAGCAAAGGGCTAGAGTCCTCGCTCCGAAGGCGTAGGCGTGGAGTGCTTGGAGTACGCAGTACACTTATTTGTGTTTCTTCACTGCGTTTTTCTATGGGCCAACGCGTACGCGTGCATGATGGCAGCACTAATGCACCAATATGCGTACGCGCCTATACTCGCTTTAAGGTGGCTGCGCGCATTCAGGCAACGCATGCCTGTCCCCCTCCTTCCCGACCTCAAGACCGTATAGGCTTCGGGGGTGAATAGGATAAAACATTTAGATACCATAATATGGTTCTCTCTGGTTCAGGTCAGCTTGCTTCTGACAAGAATCATAAACATCGTGTTTTTCCTGGCGAAAATCCGGAAGAAATGTAAAAAGGAACTTTTGATGGCAAATAAATATCCTTAAATTATACCCGTCCCGCTACTGAAGACACGTGAAAACCTAGATACTACTGATGATGGAGCAAAGGCTGTGCAACTTTCAAAATCTTTCAAATCCATCTTTACGAGTGAAGGTAAACTTACTCCTTCCAACTTCCAACATAACATATTTGTATTATGTACTATTGTTAAGATTGAACACTTTTTTAATTTTTGAATATGAATAGGGAGCTCAAGGGATATCGCCTTCTTCCCTTAATAAAGTGACTAATATACCACTTAGATGAGGTTTAAAGACCACTTACCCACACTTCGATCTGATGCTAAATTCTGAAAGAAAATTTGAGCGAAAGTATAGGCGCTTCTTAGGGCAGCATCACCTATAATCAGATGCGTAGCACGGATTCCGTAGGGGAAGTCTTGTGTGACGAACTTGCTCTACTGTTTGAAAGTTGGACCCTGGCATTTCATTGACCAAGTCCGCCGCATGTAGTCTGTATTGTCTTAAAGAAGGCGATCTGTACTGACCCACGTCAGCTATTTCTACACATACTCGACCAAACCGGCGCTAATAAAAATCCCTAAAATTGATTCGAAGCCTTCTGTTTAGCCATCTTTAAAGTTTCCATGTTTGTGATTAGCAATCAGCGGAGGTCCAGGTTTAGAGTGGTGTTTCCCTAGGCTCCGTACTTTGTCCTACACTTTTTAGTGTGTAGGTCAACGACTGGGTCAGTGAAAAGGATTGTGATGTCATCATTTTACCGCTGACATCGAAATTTAGAGCGTCATGTGAACCGCAACTGACGAAGAGCATTTAAAGGCGAACCTAAAACGACGGCAGTAATGGCCAATGGACTGGTTTTTATTGGTCATTTAG